AGGAAGGAAGGAAGGAAGGAAGGAAGGAAGATGAGAGGGAGGGGGAGGGAAGGAAAGAAGGAAGGAAGGAAAGAAGAAAGATTAGAGCGTGGGAGTGAGGAAGGGAGGAAGGAAAATGAGAGGAAGGAAGGAGGGAAGAAAGATTCGAGGGAGGGAGGAGGGAGGAAGGAAGGTAAATGAGAGGAATAAGGAAGGAAGGAAGGAAGGAAGGAAGGAAGGAAGGAAGGAAGGAAGGAAGGAAGGAAGGAAGGAAGGAAGGAAGGAAGATGGGAAGGAATTATTGGTCTTGGCACAGAATTTTCCTTCAGATAGGAAATTTGTGGCTTCACGCAAAGCTTGGGCAGTGCTTACCATGCCGACACTCTCAATGGTCTCCCTGACTCGGTCCAGCAGGACAGAAATCATCGTTGGATGAACAGCAGTGATGGCGGCCAGGAGCTCTCGGCCGACTTTTGAAAAGGTTTCTCTTGTGGAAAGACTGACATAAGATACCTGAGGGGAGATTAAAAAAAAAAAAGGAACATTTTAGAAACACTCTCCTCCAAACTTTAACCAGGACTTAGTGCCCTTCCCAACATCTTCTACTTATACCAGGGGTCTTCAAACTTGGCCCTTTTCTGACTTGTGGACTTCAACTCCCAGAATTCTGGGAGTTGAAGTCCACAAGTCATAAAAGAGCCAAGTTTGAAGACCCCTGCCTTATACCATTTCAGACAAATGGCTGTCCAGTCTCTTCTTAAAAACTTCCAGTGTTGGAGCATTCACCGCTTCTGGAGGCAGGTTGTTCCACTGGGTAATTGTTCTAATGGTCAGAAAATTTCTCCTTAGTTCTAGGTTGCTTCTCTCCTTGATGAATTTCCATCCGTTGCTTATTGTCCTGCCTTCAGGCGCTTTGGAGAATAGCTTGACTCCCTCTTCTTTGAGGCAGCCCCTGTGATACTGGAACACTGCTATCATGTCCCCCCTCGTCCTTCTCTTCATTAAACTAGACATACCCAATTCCAGCAACCGTTCCTTATATATGTTTCAGCCTCTTCTTGCTCACCTCATAGATCTCCAGCACCACCACTTTCACGAAGTCCTCGTCAACGTCCTCCCGTTTGGTCTGGGCCATCTCGGCAAAGGTAGTCAGCAAGCAGATCTCCTCGGAGCTGTTCATGGATTGTAGGTAACGCTCAAAGGTCTCCAGATGGGCCGGATCTGTTGGGTAGCAACAAAGCCGGGCTGTTATTTCTTTCCCTTGAAATATGTCTAGCCTGTTTACTGTCCAGGGGGAATCCTACGGCTTCCAGATTTGGTTGGTAAGATATAAATAATAAAACACATCTCACTCTTTACTCTAAAATTGACAATAGTCTATATTACTTCTGAAATCCTCTATAAGTCAGTTTGGGTCTAGTGTTATGGCACCAGATTTAGATTTTTAGATTTAGATTTTATTAGATTTATACCCCGCCCTTCTCCTGGCGGACCCAGGGCGGCTTACAGCAAGCTAAAAACAGATAGAAACCTTACAAACACCATTTTAAAATACAATTAAAAGAAATATTAATTTTGCCGTTTCATTTAAAATTTTGTGAACACCCAATATAAAATCAAATTAAAATCCAATCTAAAATACCCCTCAGGCCAGCCCCGCTAGCTGGAATAGCCATGTCTTGAGGGCGCGGCGGAAGGAGGGGAGATCCGGGATAACCCGGATCTCTGGGGGTAGTTCGTTCCATAGGGAGGGGGCTCCAACAGAGAAGGCCAGGTTTGAAACCAGGAGACTGGGAGTTCTAGTCCCGCCTTAGCCATGAAAGCCAGTTGGGTGACTTTGAGCCAATCACCAGGAGAGTGTGAGTTCTAGTCCCGCCTTAGCCATGAAAGCCAGCTGGGTGACCTTGAGCCAATCACCAGGAGAGGGTGAATTCTAGTCCCGCCCTAGCCATGAAAGCCAGCTGGGTGACCTTGAGCCAATCACCAGGAGAGGGTGAGTTCTAGTCCTGCCTTAGCCATGAAAGCCAGCTGGGTGACCTTGAGCCAATCACCAGGAGAGGGTGAGTTCTAGTCCCGCCCTAGCCATGAAAGCCAGCTGGGGGACTTTGGGCCAATCACCAGGAGGGGGTGAGTTCTAGTCCCGCCTTAGCCATGAAA